ATGCGTCATAGAAGCAACCAATCAGAGCCAAACATTTCCGTCACTGGTTGATACGGCAAAGCTCTGATTGCCTGTTTCTATAACGCACTCTCTATTCCGTACTCCTATTCCGCATCATGTGATTTCAGCCTTAGGCAGGATACCACCTTTGACTGCGATTTTGGAGGCCTTTTACATGAATTTTTTTTACATACAAAGAGTGCACAGAAACAAAATCGGTTTTAGTCATTCATTAATGTAACTTTAATCTGTAATTACAAAATGAAAAAGTCAAAAATAACCTCTTGTAGGTGGCGCCAAAATACATTCCTTTGGAGGAACACCGTTAGACGGCGTGTCAAATTCCGCTCTGTACGTGGCTCCTAGAAAAAAAACCAAAGAATGTTCCTATTAGCAACAATATTTTTTAATGCTGTACGTAGGGATTTTATGAAATTTCGATTTTTAAGAAAATGGCGGTCATTTTAACAAAAAGGTTTACCCTAAAAAATTGACCTTTTTGTTAAAATGACCGCCATTTTCTTAAAAATCGAAATTTCGTAAAATCCCTACGTACAGCATTAAAAAATATTGTTGTTATTAGGAACATTCTTTGGTTTTTTTTCTAGGAGCCACGTATAGAGCGGAATTTGACACGCCGTCTAACGGTGCTCCTTCAAAGGAATGTCTTTTGGCACCTACAAGAGATTATTTTTTACTTTTTCAGTTTGTAATTACAGATTAAAGTTACATTAATGAATGACTAAAACCGATTTTGTTTCTGCGCACTCTTTGTATGCAAAAAAAATTCATGAAAAACGCCTCCAAAATCGCAGTCAAAGGTGGTATCCTGCCTTAAGATGATCTTCAATGTAAGAACGGACTGTGAATACTCTTATTCGGCGGCTTTAAATGGACTGTACGTTACTGAATTTAGATCGCACTAACTTCAATAACAGACTCTCAGTCGATTTTTGTCTTTATTAGAAACTTGAAATGAACAATCCGTCAGGATCCTGCCTCAATTAATTTCTTCATTACATCTTTAATATTAAATAAACCGTGTGCCAATTGAAAATTATAGCCAAGTAGAGGAGTACGCTTAAACAGTCATCAGCGATGAATAAAAATTCAAATAAAACTTCATGTTGATCCAACTGGTAACATAATTAATTAAGTGTTACAATTGGCACGACGTTTCGACCCAAGTATCAGGTCCTTGTCGAGTAACCGAACTCGCGCATGGATGTTCGCGGAGCATAAATTACAGCAGTCTCACAGGTCATTGTAAACGCAGGAAATCGTCAGGAAAATTATTTTAACTTAAGTGAGCACGTTCGCGCGTTATAAAGTTCCGAGTTGAACTGACGAATAAAATTATAGCGTTTTTATCCTGGTAGCGCAGTGCACTGGCTAAACATTGGTCCAATATTGGTGATATTAGAAATGCATTGGCCGATATTGTCCAACGTAAAGCCAATATTGGCCATGGAATAAATGCAAATGTATGATATAATTATATTACACGGTAATATAATTATATCATATTAGATTTATATTGGCCAATATTTAACAATGCAATACGAATATTGGTCTAATATTGATACAATATTACACCAATATTGCTAAATAGACATATCGGCTAAATAAGAGGAGGCGTCCATCTAACAATATTGGACCAATATTGGGAATATCAGATTTACATTATTTCCCAATAGCGCGAACAATATTCCGCGCTAATCAATGCGTTTTAAGAATGCGCTAAATTTTTTCCTTTCAAGGTAGAAGCGTCGCCGCTCGTCGGACGAAGACTCGCGTCGCCGCAAAGATGGGAAAGATATACGAGCGTCCCCTGGAACAGCCCACGCCGAACGTGTCTTTGGGAGAAGCCGTGCTAGACAAGTTGCGCGAGAACGGCAATCGTGTTTGCGCAGTATGTACTGTAATTACGAGACGCGTGGTAGCGATTGCCAATTACCCGCCGATCACCCGCGAATTTCGCGACGTAATAACGGAGCGTGCCAAAACAATGAAAGTTCTTTGTGCAGTGATTCCGTCGGGGGCGAAATTCGCGAGTTCCACCTCTGAATTTTCCCTGTCGCATTATGCATCGCTTATAACGATTGGTCGCCGCCCTGTTCACGGCGCATTTTTATGTTAATTTCCTTTTAAGCCCCCCCGAGTACGAGAAACTCAAAAGACATTTGTTTTTTTTTCTTTAAATAATAATCGTCGTTGAAAATTTAATCAATTGCATTCATAAAAAAAAGTGCCGGTAGCTTCTCTGCTGTATTATCAAACGTCGCAGTCCTTTTACACTGGACACATTTGTATCTAAATTTTAATACATGGCTTTCGAATACAGATTTCGCGTCTTATCGTATTTTACGAGAATACACATTCAGAGGGTGAAGTAAATTATGTTACAAATGGAACACTTTTACTTTCTCTATTATCTTACGATCATACATAAGGTGTTATTTCCTTGTAGATAGACGGGCCAACAGGCACACGGATGACATATAGAAGACTACTCACGGAAAGCATCAAATTCGCGAATTTTCTACAAAGATACGGGATAAAAATCGGCGACAGAATTGGCATCGCAACTGAAAATCGATTGGATTGGTTAATACCAGTTTGCGCGAGCTTTTATCTCGGCGCAATAGTAGCACCGTACAATCCTTCGTACACAGAATGTGAGTAAAAGAACCGTTACTTAATATTAACGTACGTAGAAGTACGTATGGTCTATATTTTCTTGCAAGAGCAGTCACGAATTTTACATATAGTGATTTATAATCCGACGCGATCGACATTACATCAACGAGTATAACGACTTCAATTCAACTTCGAGTATTTAAGCAGAGAAAAGTCCTCTATTATGAGATAGGATTCTAATGCGAGATAGTAGGTTTTCAACGTCCAAATTCAATCACAAATCTTTTTTCGCCTCGATTTAACAACCAATTTGCGACTAAACAGATTTCACTCAAAGGGTAATAAATTCACGGTGGAACTAACAAACGATGCCTATTAATTTAGCGGAGACTCCGCTATTTCACATTAGGAGCCTACTCATCTGAATCCATTGCTATTACACTTGATTTATTACAAAATAGGATCGATATAACGCCAATCACATTTATTATAGAGAAAGGAATATTATAATCTTAAATGAAAAATTCGAAAATCTAGAATCGTCTTTTCTCGAATGTCGCGGCGCCAACTTCGTGCGTTGTAAGATGGAGGGAAAACTTATTCTAAACGCAAGAATATATAAAGTTATTCTTGTCTCGATATAGTAAGTCAATCTTTTTCAATTCGATAGAGGAAAATAAGAATTATTGATTTTATTTTGATATTGTCTTATCTTTATACCAAATGAGGTTGTGAGAAATATAAATGCGTCAAGAATATCTTTCGTCTCGGAAATTAAGTCGGCCAATTTTTATTAATTTGGGATTGCTTCTACTTTATTAAGAAAAAAATTTCAATTTTTACAAGTGTCCTTTAACCTTATTTGCAGAGGTTTGCGTAAACTTGTCTGCCTAACAAAGTTAAAAATCACCTCAGGAATGCAAATATTACATGTGCAAGAGTTTGAATTTTTTCTTGGTAAAGTAGAAGATAGGTTTCCTTTTAAAAGGTTTTCGAATCGTTTGTCATGTTTTGTTGTAAAGTCGACCAAAAATACCCGAAAGGTGTTTCTTTTTTTATTTCAACCTCCCGTATTATCGAAACTTGATCTGATTAAAAAAATTTCACTTAACACATTTGGATTCAGAGACCCTCTATAAAAATTGACTAATTTCGTTTCCGAAGCACTTTCATTGTTGGCCGGCGTTAACGCTGCAATATCCACCGAATTTAAAAGCCAATTAATTTCGAATGTTTACTGTTAGATGAATTCCAGCACGTATTGAACATTGGAAAGCCGCGTATTGTTCTCGTATCTCAGCGTACCGAAGATCGCCTCGCTAAAATGCTACCGAAATTGTCCTGGAAAATGGAATTAATACAGCTGGACGCTCAACCGCTCACGGCAAACGTCCTTTCGTTGACGAATATCTTGAATGACGAGCCAGGTGTAAACTACATGAAATACAAAGCCGTAGATATCGGCGACGCCAGTCGGCATCCGTTGGTTATTCTGTGCTCCAGCGGGACCACGGGTTTGCCGAAAGGGGTGACGCTGTCTCACAAAAATCTAATGGCGTTTATAGTGAAAATTGTGTAAGTTTTACTTTTCACCCAATGTTAGTTGATATAACAATGATTAAGCTTCTAATCGACCATGACTGGCGATGTGTTTTTAGCACAGAAAATTTATTGCGAAAAATTTTACCTCAGCCAGGGTTTGAACTTGGGCCTCCCTGCACTCTAGGCGAGCGTCTCAGCAATTCGACCATCGAGACATACGCTAAGGTAATATTTTATTCGCAATAAATTTTCTGTGTTAAAAACACATCGTCAGTCATGGTCGATTAGAAGCTTAATCATTGTTAGTCATTTACTGGCGTCAAATAATTCTTGATGTCAGTTGATATATTCACGAGCGATGAAATTACTGGGCATTTAATTAAAAATGCACGCGTTAAACACGTTAGCTTGAGCGGAGATTTAAATTTAACGCGGAATGTATATAATACCATATTAATTACGTCAAAAGTAGCATTGCGGCTGCCTTAGCCGTAATATTAATATTAATTTGAACTTTACTGATAGAATCGCAAACCGTGCGTGCGCAAGCGTCCAAAAGGACCGCCATTTCCTCGCTCGAGATTAGGCCAAGGATTCGATTTTGTAGTTGAAATATGACTTGAAACACCGCAGCAAGCCCGAGTACATGGATCTAAGAGTCAACGACAGAATACTGATGCTGCTGCCGTTTTATCACGGCTACGCGTTGGGCACGATGATACTCGGCCTTTACGCGAGCTGCTCCGTGATCGTCATGCCCGCCTTCGAGCCGAAGCTCTTCCTGACCCTGGTGCAGGAGCACAGGATCACCCATCTGCCGCTCGTGCCGCCGGTCCTTACGTTCCTGGCGAAACACCCGCTGGTGGATAGGTACGACTTTCGCAGCGTGAGAGAACTCATCTGCGGAGCGGCGCCGCTTGCGAAGGACGTAAGTTTTCTTCCGTCATCGTGAAGTTTGTCGTCTTACCTACCCCCCCCCTCCCGCCGCGACCTACCGCCCTCCCCCGAGCCAAGTTATCACGGCAAGAAAAGCAGCCATCGGCGGGACTAAGTGCCGAAGTGAGTCCTCGATGCCGCGCGGCTGCGGTGAGAGGATCGAACGAAGGACTGCGGGAGGAAGTCTCGGAAGAGTCGTCGCATTTTCACTAGACACGGCCCGGGAAGTAACTTTATCGCGTTCGTTTTTGTTTAACCGGTTCGCGGGAGTCGCCAGGGAGGAGTCGGGGGGAGAAGAAAATAAAAGATGCCGCACACTCGCGAGTTCGCAATCGCGTCTTTCGGAAAATGCGAAACTGATCTCTTATCGGCGGACGAAGGAGGGTAGAGGGAGGGTAGGGGAGCTCTTAAAGTTTCGAAGACCAACACGCTTCTGAACTTAAGTGTCGCCCCCGTTGTCTACGTGGATATCATTGCTATTGTCTCTCGCGTGATTGAGTGACAATTGCAGCAGGATAAAACAAATACTGGAAACAAAGGGAAAAATTAAACGTACGTAAAACGTACGTACGTGAACTTTTATACCGAGCAGGATTCATGCCGCTACATTCTGTTTCTGTATTAAGGGGATGCTGGAGTGGTTTGATTTACCGACAGAGTCGGATACCGTTTTTGCGTTTGTAAATCTTATTATTTACATTTATGTACAAACTAATACCAGACCCAAGTGTAGAATGCATAGTAGAACATTTTCATATAAAAAACATTGAGGTTTGAAGTCTAATTCGTATCGCATTATGTATTACAAATATTGCAATACATAATGCGATACGAATTAGACTTCAAACCTCAATGTTTTTTATATGAAAATGTTCTACTATGCATTCTACACTTGGGTCTGGTATTAGTTTGTACATAAATGCTACATAATTATTTTCGTTTGTATCTATAATATGACATATTGAGGTTACGTTCCTTGAGGTAAGATTTACAAACCTCCAAAAACTGTATGCGACTCTGTCGGTAAATCAAACCACTCCAGCATACCCTTAATAGTTCAGAATAAATCTCCTTAAATTAGAAGATTTAAATAAAAGTCACATCCTGTGACGGATTTCAAAAGATAATATCATAGACAGTAGTCATTTGCCACATTCTCGGATAATTACTTAACAAATTGCTCATGTTCTCAGTGAGAAATGATTCGATAAAAAGTTAGTTAAACCGAGATTGAAGTATATGTACATTGGTAGAAGAGGACATTGGTCTAATTAATCAATGCAAAAGAAGTAAAAATCAAGCGAGAAATGACTTGTCCATCGATGTCGAAACGATGTGGAATCGCCATCGACACCTTCAAATTGATGTCGAATCGACGTCAATTTAACGATGCTGTTGTCAATTCGACATCATTTCGACATCGATCGACAAATCATTTCTCACTGGGTTACTTCTTTTGCATTGATTAATTAGGCCAGTGTCCTCTTCTACCAATGTAGAATTTACTTCAATCTCGGTTTAACTTTTTGTCATTTTCAAATTCTTAGGACTAGAAAAATATAAAAAAGTAAGTTAAACCTTAGACTAAAGTTCTAAGATCTACATCGGTATAGAAATGGGCATAATTGGATCAAAAGTTAATCGACATTGGTGCAACAAGTTCGAAGCGGTGAGATACGAAACGACCTATTTCCTGTTTTTCCTCGCAGGTCATAGCCGCGGTGAAGGCTCGCATCGGCGTCAAGTGCGTTCGCAACGGCTACGGCATGACGGAGTTGTCGATAGTGAGCGGTCTGAGCGGACGCGACGATGACGACTCGTACGAGAATCCGGAAACCGGAGTGCTCCTGCCTGGTTTTCGCGGCAAAGTGGTCGATGTCGAGACACAGGAGACGCTGGAGGCCGGTCAGACGGGCGAGATCTGTTACATAGGGGAGCAAGTGATGCTGGGTTACTGGAACAACCCCGAGGCGACCAGGCAGACCATTGACCAGGACGGGTGGCTTCACACCGGCGACATCGGCTACTTCGACAACAGGGGCAGGCTGCACGTGGTCGACCGCGTCAAGGAGCTGATCAAGTACAAAGGCTATCAGGTCTCGCCGTCGGAGATAGAGACCGTCCTGCTGTCGCATCGCGCGATAAAAGACGCCGCGGTCGTCGCCAAACCCGACGAACGCAACGGGGAGATTCCCGTGGCTTTCGTAGTGAAGCAACCCGGCGCCACGATCACCGCCCAGGACGTGCAGGAGTTTGTTAAACGTAAGTTACCGCTCAGCCCCTGGATATTCTTTGACATCCCGCGCGGAGATACATGAGGACCATTCATTCAAATTCTAACTACGAAGAAACCTCGGGCGAGTGCGCGCTGTTTTGTCCTTTTTATAAGTCATACTCGTTTGACTCTTCATCACGATGACATTTTTTGTCTTTTGTTTCAGTGCTTTAAAACAGAAAGCATAAAAAGTAATTTCAAAATGGATCGAAAAAGATTTAAAGATACATTACAGATTCTTAATTAGAAATTACAAATGAATTATTTGTAACAATGGAGCACGAGTAGCCGGTTACGAATGCGCTATCGTGCATACATAAATTGAAATGAGTTAAGCACGGCGCAGAAATAAGCGCACGATACAATAGCAGCATTTAACATTGTGTTACATTATTAACGGCATTATTAGTTGTTCGCGACTTCGCATTGTAAATAATATTAAACACCGCGATCAGCAAAATTGTTAGTTATCCCCGTTGTCTCCGTAATTTAAATACATGCCGCGGCGAGACCGTGGAAATATTCCGCCCCGTCTTGACATTGCATTTTAATAGTAAACGCGAGCCGAACGACGACCCGTACATACATTAACCGGGCAATTCAATTTATCTTGCAGAGAAACTGTCGCCGCAAAAATGGCTGTACGGCGGGGTGCAATTTGTCGATGCCATACCGAAGAGCGCCGCCGGCAAGATTCTACGCCGCGAACTTCAAGCAATGATCTCCAAATTGTGATAGCGGAAATCGCCGATGGGCTTGTGCTCGTATAAGCATAAAATCCCCATTGACGAAGACCGAGGGGTAAACCGCCGAGGACAATGTGGTGCACAGATTTGCGGCATTACTGGGCATTACTTGGCACTTTTGAGGCCTTGCTGGGGCACGTTATAAAGATAAAATAAGATAAAATAGGATAAAACAAGATACTTAGTAAATCTAAAACAAATTCAAACCAGTATCTCAAAATTTACGAAAGTCACAACAATTTCAGCGTACACCCAGACATTTTGGTCTAAATTTGTGATTTTTCGACGTTTTGGAACATTTCTAACCCATTGGCAAAGAAAAATGAGACTCAACTTTTTTCAAGAAAAACAAAGCCTTCTCTGTGAGGAAGCAAGAAATAAGATAGTAAAATAAAGTAATGCCCACTGGCCTGTAGTAAGCATTGGTGTACATACATGATTTTGACCAGCGGTTTACCCCTCGACAAAGACCGAAGAAACAAGATCAACATCGCCAAGAGCAAATTGGCGATGTTATCGATCGCTCGAAAAACGTGCCATTATGTGTGTGTCAAAAATATTTTTGCGTTAACGAAAACGTCTCACTGCGAGGAAGAGTGATCGAGCGCCGCGGATTTCTTCGCTACGGAAACGCAAATTTATCGCGGCCCGTTGATTAATTCATAAATAAACCGTTGAACAAGCGTGACCGATTAAACACGAGCGCCCAGTGGATCAGTTCCATCCCTCCCCGAATATAACGGGACGGGGGTGTTTCGAGTTATATTACACGATATCACTCTTGCGCCGACCTGCGGTGCTACGAAAATAAGCGAAGAAACCTGTTGCGTCACACACGTCGACGAGGAACGTGCGAGCGTTCTCTCGTATTTCATCAATATCTAACTATAAGTAGCTACTTTCTTCCTTTACTACGAATCGAGCTTCTTATCGATCCTCCGTGAGTTTTCCGGCGAATCTCCATAAGTAAAGATATCTGTGATTAAATCTTTAAATAAATAAGAGAAATTATAGCGGGCCCCGGCTCACTTCGAGATCTTTCATATTGAATCACCAGCGGCATCAGTTTCCGCCGGTGATTCAATATGAACATTATTTTCTACTGACAGCTTCACTTTATAGCAAAGCCTTTGTAATTTGATTTAGCGCGGTACAAAAATTCTAAGACACGATGTTTGCGTTACGAGTTTTGAACGAGTAGTAGATAAACTTCTCGCGTAGATAAACTTCTGATCCCTCGCAGGACTTTTCTTAGCAAAAAAAATAGATTTCGAAAGGAGAAAATTACTCCACTCTCATTCGTCGTCCATTCCAAATGCATTAGATAGTGCGAGCGATAATTGATCATAATTGATAACGGCTGCGTCGCCTAACGAAATAGTTAACCGTTGTCGGGAAAGTACGGCATGAACTACTGGCGGTTTCGACGAATCAACGGGATTATCGGTGTCGGAGAAATTTAAATTTCACGCCGCGGACTCTCTCTCGTATACGGTCCCCAGATGCGAGTACACACTCGCGCGCGAAGATACGTGTGTGCACGCGCGCGCGACGGATACGCACACGTGTGCAACCGTCGACAGTTATGTGTACGTGTTCATGCCTCGCGTTCCTGTTGATTTAATTACGACGATTGGCCTGACAAATCTAATTGACGTGCATCAATTATTTGGGCCGCGTTCGAAGGCCGTTTAATTCCCTATCCTCTTGCCGACGAGAACACGCTTTCGCACAGTAATTCCATTTTTCAGAGACCCTCTCCCTCTCTCTTTCTCTCTCTCTGTCTTTCACTGCCTCTCCCTGTCTCTCCCGGTCTCTCCCGATCTCTCCCGGTCTCTCCCGATCTCTCCCGGTCTCTCCCTGTCTCTCCCGGTCTCTCCCGCCTCTTCCGGTCTCTTCCGGTCTCTCCCTGTCTCCCCCCCTCTCTCTCTCTCTCTCTCTCTCTTTTTCTCTCTGCTCGCCGTTGTGTCGTTGAGTCGGTAGCAGCTCCCGCTCCGATAGATTCAGTCGGGATAGATAGAGTTATAAAGACAATTCTAGGCGTGAATGAACATTCTGACTCTGAAAAAAATACCTTACTAACGCAGGTAGATTTCTAGCAATTGCGACAAAAATTTATTGTTGTTTTTTTGTACCTATTAAAAAATTGCTTGTAGCCTGTAAAATTTATAGCAGCAACTTTCCAATAATACCTTCTGGAAAGTTTAGGTTTCATGATCAAATATTAATCTTCACATTGGATAAAAGTGAATTTCGGGACCATAGGTAGAACATCATTGTAAGGGATATAACTGTTGTATGTAAGGAATTGTAAGGGATATAAATGTGCCACAATCAAACGTTATAATGGATGGACGCCACATAAAGACTTTCTTATTAAAGCCTGTGTCCAAGTTCTTTGTAAGTAAAGTCGTCCAAGTTTTAGCATTGTGGACACGGGCCTTAACATTCGCCAACAGTTCAGATAAAAATTCTGTTTCTGTTATTTAAATTGATCAAATACCAAATATATATGTGATTTCGCAGTATTGGCTATTCATTTACGTATCTCAGTTACTTTCTCGCACCTGGAAAATTGTTGCTGCAGCTGCAGAATCTTTTTTTTTCAATGATTCCAAAATTTTATACCGTGTCTTACCATTGGTAATAATTCCAGTGATAATAATACAACATTCAATAATAATTCAAGAAAACAAATAATTCTGATTGCAATTATCGATGTACAAGCCGAATAAGTAAATTGCAACTTTTTGCACACAGCAATCTCTGCAGTCGCACAAAAGATATGCGGTAGAAGGGGCTGCGCCCGCGCGTTTCCCCTTTCGTAATTTCGAATATTCGTATTTGCGTATCGTTGCACGCCGAACGAATAATCCATAATCGCGTGTTTGCTACGGCCAATCATGCGCCTAATTATATGAAACCAGCCTGTATACGGTGTACGATACTAATGCACCAAATTATCTGCGCACATGCCGTTATTGGGATCACCGTGACATACACGCGCGGGCTCGACTACTGAAATCTCTGCGTATTTCGACGGGGGCAGGGGTTCGCCAGGGGTTGAGGGCGGCGATAAATTACCGTTGATGGGGCGAATTTTCAAAAGCGTAGCTCGCAGCTTACTCTTATTGTTAGCCGGATTTACCGTCTCGTTTAAGCGGCGAATTTTCGCCGCGCGCGCGCGCATACGCCGATTTTGAAAAACACAAAATTATCCTCTCCCGAGGGAGGGAACGCTTCTATAAGGGCCTGTGTCCACGTTGCTAGAACTTGGTCCCAGCATTTATGGAATAGCTGCAAGTTGATTGGCCACACATTTGTCGAAATTAGAACTTGGACCAAGTTCTAGCATCGTGGACGCAGGCCTTAAAACTGGAATGCGAACTCGCGCGCGCGCGCGGTTACAAAGTCGTCCGTTTTAAGCCCTCCGCGAAGAACGATTACAACTTCTCGGCAAATTTACATCTTGTTTAAACTTAATAATTGACTTATTACAAACTCGACGATCGTTTTACCGCGGCAGGTGTGTTTACATTGGAAAAGGGATCGTTACCAGGCACCAGTCTGGTAATACGAGTATAACAAAATATCACGTCGCAATGCGTAGCGCGCACGAACGGAACATTCGCCTGGAGCGCGCGGGTGCATATATGAAATACTTGAATGTACTCAGGAAATGAGATCCGAGTCTATCTGCGCGCAATCAGATATGGGAATTCGCGTGCCTCGCGGATATTCAGATATTCACAATGGTCGGGATTCGTGCCGCACACGCTTGACATGTTGTTCGCGACGTTAATCAGTCCAAACGATTATTCCTCTCAGATGCCTCATCAGTATTTAACTTATACCTTTAAGAGCACCCGGCGGGACACTGAAAATTATTATCTGCGGGACAACGAAATAAAACCCCGGCTTCTTTTCAAAGCAAGCGAGATACTTATCTTCCCTTAAATCTATAAGGATGATAAAGTAGGTGACAGAATTCTTTCAAGTTGCAGTGAATAATTTCTTCAGTACGCTCGTTACTCTATAACATTATTTTCCTCTGTTAATTTAATGATATTTCGTGAAAACGTTTAACTTGTTAATTTACAGCGAAAGAAGATTTTACAGCGATAGCGTTAGCGAATTGTCGCGGGGCGTTTGTTACAAAGTATCGACGAAGCGCGATAGGAATCGTCCACCCTCGAGGAATGCATTCGCGCATCGGTCGGATCCGCGGTGCACTTAAACCAAAGCACGGCTGAAAGGGCACAAAACGGTAGAGGCGACGCAGTTGGCCGCAATGGCGATAGATAGCGAGATTTGGGCATAGCGAGAGAGCGGCACAATACACGCTCGCGCCGGGCCTTCAGAAAATGAGATACGATAGGAGGGTGAGCACGTAGGGGGCTGAGAGGACGGCGAGGGGGGGGGGGGCGACGAGGCAGGGGAAAGGGCGAACAGGAGGAAACGGAGAGGGAGAGGGGCCTATCACTCGGCTAGATCCAATACAATGCGAACTATTGTACCCACGTTCGCCATCCACTCCAATTCCTGGCGTGGAGATATGCAGCTCCGAGTCGGGGGCTGCACTTCGCGCGGGAGTGGCACACGCGTATGACTGTATATAGGGAGGTAAGTACGCGAGGGTCGGAACTGGAGAGACAGAAAGAGGGAGGGGGAGGGGGAGAGAGAGAGAGAGAGGAATTTATTCAGTTCAGCGAGTAGTTTCCTGAAGCGTACTATAAAAATTAAAATGAGACAGAGAGAAAAGAGGATTATGAAGATACATATATCTTCCTAGCGTGCATATACACACATTCAGATTATATAAATATTACGAAATAAATAAAATACATATTCTTCTTTATGCGGCATTTATCAAAGGTACAAAGCGCGTTTAATAAATTGCCTCCGAACTGCTCATTATTTGCTCATTATAAGTTATACCGACGAGATTTTACGTTAGATTGTCATAAACATCGAGGCACAATTGCTAATAACTTTATTGTACCTTTCATTTTACAAGGATCATGAGTACATTAGCAAAATTCTGCCCTAGTAATGATAAGTAAGAATTAAAACGGGAGAAATTGAAATAAGGAGACAAGACGGATATGAAGATACAAGAGTGAGGTAGTAAACAAGAATGAAGGATGAAAAAAAGAGTACAAGAGCGTGGGTAAGAAGCAGAGGCTTCAAGAGGCAGAAAAACGAGAAGCACGGCTCGGGAGAAGGGAAAGAAAAAGACCCCGGGGTCAGAGACGCGAGGGTGATGAAAATGGAGGGACGGAGCGAAGGAACCTCGGGGTGGGAGGGAGAGAGAACGACGAGTGCGTATAGCGGGATAGGGCGCTTCGCGGCGGTGGCGAGGGAGAAGGAGAGCTAAAAAATTGGAGAACGCGTATAAGAGGGAAAGAGCATTAACGTTTCTTTTTTCCTCTCCAATTTCTCTCTCTCTGCCGCCGAGCGGTGCGGCCCAGAGTGAGAAACGCGCCGCACACTCCCCAATCTCTTTCTCCCTCGGCCGTTCTCCATAATTTAAAGTAATTTCGCAGCGCGGTACACGAGTAACCGCACGTTAATACCCCCTATCCGCCCCCTCCCCTCCCGCTGCCGCCCTCGGTCTGCCCTGCGCTACTGTTACCGCTCGCCCTTGAGCCAACGTACGTAGTGCGGTCACGTTCCCGGGGAAATCATGCCGCTGCCGAAAATGAATTGTTATTACGACGACGATGTAGTGTCAAGTGCAACCCGGGGGTCGATCTACGGCTCGCCACCCGACCCGGGTGTCCATTTCCGCGTGATGCATGGGGCTGCGCCCGGGATTTACGCGCCCCGGCGGTCACGTCGACGGAAAATTCTCGCCGCGGCGAGAAGTAGACGCAGACATTAAGCGCTCCCGAGGACCATTGACGTTCGAACGGTGAGGAGAGCGCGCGTAAAAATGGAGTCTCTCTCTCTCTCTCTTTCTTTTTTCCCCTTTACTTGGGGGAGATCAGGGCACCGGTCCTGTTGATGAACAACGACGATCGCGGTCCACCGTGACTCGATCTTTGCACTCGGACGAAGGCGGAATCGATATTTCACGGTTAACGAGGGTTCATTTGACCGTCGCTGCTTATTATAATGAACGAGCCCGTATATCTGACCGCGGGTCGCGGCGGCGGCGGGGCGGGAGGGGGAGGGAGGGGCCGGCGGCGGACGGAAGGGCCGTCGAGTCAGGGCAGAAACGGTCCGGAGAGAGGGACGCCGAAGGGGGAGAGGAGACAGGCGTTTACGTGCGGCAGACATCCGATGATGCATAGTTGCTGTTGACATGCTGGAACGTCAGGCTCACATGACCTCTCGAGCGCAGCCATTATCCACAAAGCGCGATACCTCCACCCCCCCCCCTCCACCCCTCTTCCATCTCGCGCCTGTTGCCCCCCGTCCCCGCTGTCCGTCGAATTGGGACAATAACCGCTCCCGCGAAGTCGTGTTATAATTATTGGCCGGTTTTCGCGAGTCCACCCCTCGTTATAGCGCGTTTTGCCCCCTCGTTAATTGCGCAATAATGCCAGCACCGGCGCGCCGCCTCTTCGCCGCTCGCCCCCGGCTTCCGGTTTCCCGGCTCCCGGCAGAGGAGGGCCTGTCGACACGGGAAGGGGCCGCGAATTTGTAAAACGCACTTTTCCAACACGCTGTACTTCCGCGGCTCGGTTGTCCCGCTGACGTTCTCGCCGGGACTTTATTTACGCGCGTTTCGCGCGCAGATTGATAATGTTGCTCCGGACGCACGCGGCTGATTGGAACATACCGGCTTGTGGAAAGCGGACGCTGCCCGAATGGGCGGAGATTTGTTGTGTCAATGCATGCATTAGATCGGCGTTTTATCGTGCGCGTCTAGTTGCTGTTTTAATTTATTAAATTGTCACGCAACGGAAAATATTGACTCCTGACGGCTCCGCGAATCATTGAATCGGCTTATTGTGAGTCGAAATCGTTGCGATTGTATTCCGCGTGAAAACCATCTCTCCTTTGCAAGTGAAACCATTGAAAAAATAAAATCACAAGCCCGTTCGTGAAACAAATAGCTCGATGTGGGATGTTATGCGATTACATACATATCGACCTTTTATCAACGTCTCGACATTTCACAATAAAGAGATCACAATTTTACGCGAAAGGAGAGAAAGATACAAGAGCCAAGGAGCCGTGCGTCTCGAAAATTCCGTTCGCAATAATTTCCCGCGTGCGTTCCGCTGTTTCTAGCGGAGAGGTTTGCGGCCCGGGAGCGGGGGGAACCCGATGAAAATCGGCAGGATCGATGATAGAGCGGAATATGCATTAGGGGGTAACGGCCGATTACGTATGCAGCAACGCGACACGCGCGTAATTCCGTCGACGATGTACGCGGCGCGGATGCTGCGGATCGACCGCGTGATTTTGCACGGCGCGTTGGCCGAACGCGCCGGATTGTGCCCGTCGTGGAGGCTCAGAGATCGTCGACTCCGTCGCTTAAAGGCTTGTGTCCGCAATGCTAGAACTTGGTCCTAGTCATCGTGGACACGGGCCTTAAAGCGACGAGCAGGCCAATTGTTTTATAGCGAGACCGGACGCTCATCCTCGCCTTGCATCCGGCCAGCTTTAGGCGAGATATCGCGATCAGCGTGTCGCTGCGTGCCGCGAATGTCACCGTCGCACGTGTCCGCGACGAAATGGTCAATTGACGATTTGATCGTGATTCGACGTTTAGTCTCTGAAGACCAGTGTCCACGGTGCTAGAACTTGGACCAAGGTCTTAATGACGCGCAGCTGTGATGCCGCTTTGGTCCCGAGTAGAATGGCCGTCTTGTACTATTAAGGGGACGCTGGAGTGATTCTGCACCTTTTGCATCTTTTTGCTCCTAGCACTGTCAATTCATGAAAAATTAAGTTTAGAAGCCTAACAAAAAATCTATTCACTCGAATAAGTTATAGAGTGGATAAATGTTTTTGTTAGGCGTCTAAACTTAATTTCAATGATACCATGCTGTTCTCTGATTAAGCCCGATCAGTGGAACACTGACGGTTTGTACGTAAAAGCTATACATAATTTGTATATTACAATGTTTTCATGACTCGACCGTTCTAGATCTGGATGCAAAAAGTGCAAAGAGCGCATATTGTGCGTCACTTGAAGACTTAAAACATAAAAAATTTGCTTAAGACAGCCATTCTGTTTAGGCCCTTTACGTCATATCGCGACCGGCGCCGCACGTACGCGCTCGATCTCCGTAAACACGTCAGGAAACTTTTGGAGAGTCGCGGAAGCAGCTTCGAAATGTGTTCTGCGCGATTAATCGACTCTTTGTTTGTTATCTTTATTCTTGTTGCGAGACAGCGATATCCGTCCCTGATGCCGCGTAAATAACTGAGGGATGAGAACGAAGTTCCTGGCATTTCGCTTGTACAGGACAAACGTTGCGAGCGTGGCTGCGGACCACTGCAAGATCGCGAACTGAATGTCTACGGTTACGCGACTCGGTTAACCCGCCTGTCTTCGGTACTCACCCTCGGTATTAATCAAGCCCCGATAGCGAGCGCAATTTCACGGATCGCGGAGAAATCGGTTTCCCGTTGAGAAGCGCGCCCCGCAAGCGGATGCCTCCGCGCTCGCGCGCCCCCGACGAGCGCGCAAATCGCGCGATTTACGTGCGTTTTCCAATCAACGATCGCCTCGCCGCGCCGCCGACGCTGACGATCTAATTAAAGCTCGCACGCGAAATTCCGCGCGTTCCATGTGTAATCGGTTTAAACGTTTGCGCGCACCGCACGGCACCGCTTAATTCTAAGCGGTCTCTCCATCGCGCGCGCGCGAGAAAGAGAGAGAGAGAGAGAGAGGGGGGGGGAGGGGGACGCGGACATATCTTGAGCGTATATAAATCTCCACCCCGCGCGCTTATTTACGCGCGTCGTGAATATGCATTTGTCTCAAGACGTAGTAATGAACCCGAGGGAGCCGCGCACAGGCGGCTAGTTAAACAACTAATTAAAACGCCGCCGCAAAATTGATCGTCCGTAGATTATTATTTCAGCGGCCGACGAGCAGCAACGATTAATACACCCCGCACGCGCGAGCCACAAAGCTTCGATAAATAGCGAACGTTCTCTCTCGCACGAGTTGTCGCGCATGGGTCGAAATGCTTCTCGGCGAACCGGCAAACGACTTGCTCGCGGATGAAATGCGCTAACAATGAGAACGTTCGAACGAATAGGAAAACCGAAGAGAGCGCAGATAAAGATATTCAGACAAAATATAAATTGTCCCGTTAAATTTATTATTCCATTCGATTCCAGAATTAACGGCGTTTATCTGAATGGCTGTAAAATTTTATCAGTATGCATCCGGATTGTAACTACGATCGTTAAATTGACGTTACAATGTAACCGTAAACGCCACCGCCGTTAAGCAGTTAAGTGCTCCCGCATAAAATTGATAGTGCCGATATCGGCTCTTTTTCACAGCCGCATATTGAAATGATAACGCGCGTTATCGCTAACGCTGATATCTGCCAGTTCGATTGGTCCTATTTCGACGTTATTAAATCAAAATTGCGTCCATGGGTAATACGGGCTCTAATGAGAGCGCTATTTCGGAGGAGGTCCTCGACGAACGCGTCGAGCTGACGTATGTACTTGAGCAAGAGTGAAATTTGTCAGTGCGTGCATATATTCGACTTACGAGGGTGGGTTGAAAAGTTTTGAGCCTAACATAGAAACATTTTTTTTTTCGGTCAAACTCCATTTCATTTTTCGACATGGTCTCCTTTTAAGTCGATACACTTAATTCAGCGACGCTCCAACCACTTTAACCCGTCCAAATAATAGTTGGCGTCCTGCTCTGCAAAATAGGCATCTACGGATGCTACGACCTCCTCGTTCGATAAAAATTTCTGTCCTTCGAGCCAACCTTTGAGTTTAGGAAACAGCAAAACGTCACTGGGGGCTAGATCTGGTGAATACGAGGGTGGTCAACCAGTTCAAACTGCAATTCGTTAATTTTGGCCATGGCGACCGCCGAAGTGTGAGACGTGCGTTGTCTTAATGGAAAAACCCTTTCTTCTTGTTCAAATGCAGCCGTTTTGTCGCAATTTCTGCCTTCAACTGGCCAAGTAATGGATGCGTAGTAGTTCCCCGTGATTATTTTATCTTTTTCTAGATAGTCGATGAACACAATGCCATGGCTGTCCCAAAAAGCAGTCGCCATTACCTTCCCGGCCGACGTCCACGTTTAAACACAGCCGCCCATCTTTTCACGGTGGCAAATGAAATCGGCTTTAATTTGCGTAGGCGTATTGCCTTTTAAATGCAAGAATTTAATCACGGCACGACATTCGATTTTTTTCCATTTCTACGAAAATACATCCACTGACAGAAACGACTGTCGTACAACAACTGAGAGTTCAAAATAGCTCAAATTTTTAGAGGTATCCTTCACATCACGTACTGCTGCAGTACCCAAGTGGCGACGACAAGTAATGCCATCTTCCTGTTGAGGCTCAAAACTTTTCAACCCATCCTCGTAAGTACATACATACATACATACATACATACATTAAGTGCCACATAGGCCGGGATTCATAGTCAATTCTTGTTTCAAAATCATCTTAAATGTTGTCTTAAGAAGCTAATACAGCTCTGTGATTGGTTAAAAACACATTAAGGGTATAATTAAGATGATCTTAAATATAAGAACGGACTATGAATACCGGTCATATAGTGTGCAGGTATATCATATCATATTTGTTTTCGGTAGCGTGGAATAAACTCATCGTTTTGTTGCGCTTTCAGTCTGCCACAAAATCATCACGTAGCACACATAGTATTTCAACGATTTCTGAATTATGAGTTAATTTCATAAATAATTATTATGGTAATACTGAAGGAGAGTCCCTCACTCTCCTTTTTTGATGAAAATTCAAAGGATCGTGTACTTTTGCCTGTAAAACACGAATCTGCAAGTTAAAATCGTCGCTCGGCACTAATAAGAGAGTTATTAATTATTAAAATCTGACAGCTATGGGATTAGGAGATACCTGTCATACTGACACCAATCGACGCTATACGAGAGCGGCGCAGACTGACCGAGCATGTGTAGTGACATAATAGTGTGCGAAATTTGAAATGTGTACCTCGTTATATCCGCCAAATATTCATTGACCACGAATAACTCTTCTTTCCCGCAAGCCGAAGGCCCCTCTTGCACCCTCCCCCCGCTTGTGTGTGTTTTTTTTCGTAAAACTTATTTGAAAAACTGTGCATTTAGTTAAAGCAAAGAATACTTCAAATGGTATTGAAAGCAGAGAATATATTCTGTGCTTTAACCAAAAGCACAAACAGTTCAATACCATTTGTAGTATTCTTTGCTTTACCTAAATGTCCACTTTTTTCAAGTAATTTTACGACAAACACATGCACACACAGCGAGGGGGGGGGGTGCAAGGGGGACCTTTGGCCTCCCTTCCTGCATCCACCCGCCGGTAGTGTGGACATTACTTGCAGAAAGGAAGAGTTATTCGCGATCAATGGATATTTGGCGGATATGAACGGGGTACATCACATTTCACATTTTGTGCCCTATTACGTCGCTACGCATGCTCGGTAAAGGCCTTCACACATAACATTCCGTAAGGACGTAAAACGTAAGCATAAGAAAATCGACCAATCACAGTCGAGAACGTAAGGCAATAACGCAAGCAGTAGCTTCCAACCTGTTGATTTTCTTATGTTTACGTTTGACGTCCTTACGGAATTTTATGTGTGAAGGCCTTAAGTCTGCGCAGCTCCCGTACAGTGGTCGAAACAACAGGTATCCTAACCACACAACTCTTAAATTTTAACAATTTATAGCTGTTTTATTAGTGTCGAGCGCCGATTTTAACTTGCAAATTTGTACTTTACAGGCACAAATACGCGATTCTGTGGATTTTCGTAAAAAATAGAGAGTAAGGTAATATTCAGTATTAACCATTATTATTATTTTAAAAAAATTACATTTATACCATCCTTCTAGCTTACAATGACACGAAACAAGAAGAAGGTGAAGAAACACGTGTGCTTGAGTGTTGTGCAGAAATTAAAGCTAATCGAGAAATTGGAACAAGGCATCTCAATTACGGATGTTTGTAAAATTTATGACGTAACTCGCCAAACTGTCTGGAGCATCAATAAATCAAAGAACAAATTGCAACGATTTGTTGCATTGTTTTCGACAGGCAATATTAATAGCTCTAAATTACATACTTCTACAATAGGGAATAGAGCAACCATGAAGTGTGGGCTACATAAAAATTTAGATAAAGCTCTATATATGTGGTATATTCACCAGAGATCCAGTGGTATTAATGTACAACAGCTCCAGTTGAAATCGGAGTTTAATGCTCTTGTAACACGTATGGGACTCAGTATCAAGAGTACTGATGTATGGCTGGTGAATTTTAAAAAGAGACATGGCATTATAGTTTCTTTGAGCGATGCATCCTTTAGTGAACCTTTAGAATCAGAAAAGAAAGATAGTAACGAAGACAAAGTTATTCCAGAAGAACCTATAAAAGTTGAGAATCTGCCTTCTTCGTCATCTTCACCTCCAACTACTTCAACACATCACAACATTTTTAAATTAAATGCTTCTACAATAAGGAATAAAAAACATTGGAGAAACGCAAATTTAGATAAAGCTCTGTATAAGTGGTATAGTCAACAGAGAACCAGCGGTGTTAATGTACAACGTTGCCAGTTGAAATCGGAGTTCAATGCTCTTGTAACACGTATGGGACTCAATATCAAGGGTACTAAACAGTGGCTGTATCGTTTTAAAAAGAGACATGGCATTATGTTTTCTTTGAGCGAGGAACCCTGTAGTGAACCTTCAGAGTCTGAAAAGAAAAACAGTAACGAAGACCAACTTAATCTAGAAGCATCTATAAAAGTTGAGAC